GACCTAGTGACAGAGTGACTGTGGGGCTAGAAGTCTTCGGAGAAGCCAAGCAGGAGGCGAGCTCTAAGAAGCCAAGGATGAACTCTTTGCAGGGGTTGGGTTGGGATTGGGCAGCGAGCAGTTTTATTGACCTTTGAGAGAGCAGGGTCATTGGAGTGTAAGGACATAGACGAGTCTCAGAAATGAGTAGAACTAGAGCTGCGGAAAGTTAGGAGATTCTTCCAGAAGGTTAAGAGCTGAGATACGGATTTTTTTTTTAGGCTGGGCTGGAAACTTGTCCTTGTTTGTAGGCTGAGGAGAAGCTGTAATGAAAAGGAAAGAATTAAAATAAAGGTCTGAGGGTCCTTGCAGAAGTCCAGCTGGGATAAGGCTAGAAAGCAGAAGTGATGGAATGGATGAGCCTTAGAAAAGGGGTAGGGACATTTTTTCCTTAGAGGCAAGAGGATAGGAAATGGGGAGAAATTTTGAGGAAAAGAGGAAAAATTCCAGGAAATCTCCTCCGAATCTCAGTGATATGGGACCAGAGCCCCTAGTAAATATTTATGGGTGTCAACAACTGGTCCAATAGTGGGTGAAGATTCCTTTCCTTTTCAGTTCCCTCCTAGAAGGGGAAAAGAGGTAGAATAATGCCTACCACATGCTGGGCATTGTCTGAAGTGTACATGTGTATGTATGTGTACATCCATATTTATTTAATTCTTCTACCAACCCAGCAAGGAGGGTGTTCCTGTGGCTGTTTGAGATAAGCTAGCTGGAGAGCAGCAGGTTTCTGCCCCTCTCCTATTGGCATGGATTGGTGTGGATCATCACATTTCTACCTGCTGCTTGATTGGCTCACTGTAAGGGTAATAATGCCTTTGCCCTGAGGTGCCACTTGGGTCAGATCTTTGCCTTTTCTCCCTGACCACAGAGTGACCACTCAGTGTCCCTTAAGCAGAACTTGCAGGCCACCCTTACTCTGCTGAACTAGAGTGTGCAGAGCTGCAGAAGACCATAGAGAGTGTCCAGCTCAGCTTCTCATCTCTATAGGAGGAAATGGAGGCCTGGAGACGGGAGAGTGTCCAGGGTCTCAACAGCCAGTGAGAGGCACAGTGGGTCTCAGGGCCTCTGCCTTTCCAGCCCTTGTCCCACTGCCCTGCGTTGTCTGCCCTCTGAGTTGGGTGGAGAGTGATTAGAACATAGGACTATACCTGGAATTACACTTGGGCTTCTGGCTGACCCTCTGAGTAAATTTGGCTTCATCCTCTGTGACTCAATATAGGAAGGAGCAGCCAGTAGGGACACTCTGTTTTCTCACTTTTCTTTTCCCAGGAGAGGTGGTGCTGCCTAATTCCAGAATAACCTGCATCCTTGCATCTCCTGCTTTTTCAGAATCTGGCTTGGCCTTCTCTCCAGCTGCCCTTAATTTAGCCTAGACTGAATTCTTCCTGTTCTGGCAATTAAGTTTTTAGCTGTATTTAGCATTAATATTTGATTGAAATTAGCTAATCTTTAATGGGTTTTCCTAGTCACTGCCCCTGCCTCACCTCATCCATTTGGAACATGTTATTGGGCCTCACAGGTCATTTCTACCTCTGGTAATTTTCTTTTTTTTTTTTCCGAGACAGAGTCTCGCTCTGTTGCCCGGGCTAGAGTGCCATGGCATCAGCCTAGCTCACAGCAACCTCAAACTCCTCAAGCAATCCTCCTGCCTCAGCCTCCTGAGTAGCTGGGACTTCAGATGTGCATCACCACACCCGGCTAATTTTTTCTATTTTTAGTAGAGATGGGGTCTTGCTCTTAGGCTGGTCTCAAACTCCTGAGCTCAAGCGATCCTCCTGCCACAGCCTCCCAGAATGCTAGGATTACAGGCGTGAGCCTTTTCAGTTCCCTCCTAGAAAGGAAAAAGAAGTAGAATGATGCCTGCCACATGCTGGGCATTGTCTGAAGTGTACATGCGTATGTATGTGTATATCCATATTTATTTAATTCTTCTGGCCAGTAATTTTCTGATACTACAGTGCTTCATTGGGGCCTCTCCAACTCTGTTGGAGTTGGTGGCACCTTAAGAGACAGCCAGGCTTGAGCCTTAGAGATCAGGAAATTCAGATAGTTGTGATTTTCTTGTCCGAGGCCACACGGCTAATTAGAGGCAGAGTCCAGAGCAGGACTAGGACTCTCCCTACACCCTCTGCTTATGCTGCGGGCCGTCTCTGCTGCTCTCCATCGGGAGCAAGTAAGGGAGTAATTTTCGTTCCTGTGTTGCAGTTGAGGCAACATTTGTTACTTATTAGATATAAAATACATGATTTGAATGTCATCTTTTTATTCTATGAGGAATCCACAAATGAATAAGAAAGAAGCCAGACTTGCTAGGAGCTCTGAATGGGTAAGAGGTAACAGTAACATGTAGCAAAGTCTTGCCATTAACGGTGGATGTTGCAGTTGTAGTTGGGGGTTTGTGCTGCATCATGTAGTGTGAGGCTTTCATTCCCCTCCATCCTCCTCTCCCTTTAGCTGCCTGTGTGGTGCACATCGTTAAGATTCTTAGGTTAGTTGTTGAATAGTTCATTTGCTTTCCTTTGACCTGGAGACCTACCAGTTCTAAATATTAAGCAACTGTATTGGGAAAAGATTAATGAAGAAGGCTAATATTTTCTTCTATAGAGTTTATATTATACCTATACGAATTAGCAAGGGGGGTCCCAGTTTGTTTTCAGTATGAGCCCAACAGTTTCTCTGTGCTTTTTGCATGTTGCATCTGATGCTCACGGTGACTATGAGGTAGGTGTAAAGTCTTCCCGTCATAAGCAAGGAAAGTGGGGCTCAGAAAAGCCCAGGAGCTTGTAAAATCGCTATTTTACTCAGGGGCAGAGCCAGCCCATGTCTTCAGTTGTAAGCCAGAATCCTTTCTGTTTATCATACTGCATTATCTACTTGGTTGCTAAACCTTGCGTGCTTCTTGGACTCTTTCTTCTTTCTGTCTGCCCAAGGTTTAATTAAACTTTTTTTTTTTTCTGAAACAATTTCATAGGTTGATGTTCTTAAGGCAACAGCACTCCCTCTATTGAAACAGTTTGGGATTGATGGTGAATCGTTTGAGCTAAAGGTAAGAACGTATGAACTATTGACTGTATCTGTGTAAAACATTTTCTTACCGACTCATTGGAAGAGCTGTGTGAGTCAGTGTGTGTGTCACATGTAAAGTCACCATGTTTTAGAAGGCCCACAGGGCTCATGAACCAAACAGTATAGACTTTGAACTGAAAGGGACTCTTTAGTAGTGACAATAGTAGCCAACAATTATGTTGTACTTACTTTGTGATAGGGGCTGTTGTAAACATTTCACATATATTAACTCCTTTTCTCCTCACTGTAACTCTTGTCTGTTTCACTCAGCTAATTAGTAGTAGAGGGAGGATTTGGGCATATTACCTCTGTGATCCAGCTTATCCTAGATATAATTTGTGTTCAGGCGCTCCCAACCAGGATGTACTTGAGAATTTTCTGTATTTCCAAAACCTAGTAGAAGTAATTTAAGCATCTGTTTGTTATTGAAAGGAATTATATCAGTCTAGTGTGGTTTAGCATCTGTACCTTTTAAATTGATGTTTTTCAGCAGGGGAAAAGACGTTATTTTTATTTAATAATGTGGAGTTTTGATAGATCAGTTGCATGGGAGGAGAAAAAGGGGTTCCTGATGGCTAAGAAATGGGATCAGCTGATGGACGAGGCCAGTTTCTCATTTTAAGGATGAAGAAACAGGCCCTGGTGGTGAAGTGATCGGCTCAGGGTTATAGGTTACTCAGACGAGAGGCAGAGCCACTTGGGTAATCTGCTTTGACATTGACTTGGACGTGCTGCTGAGCACGTGCGCTCTTGGAGCTAACGGAAGGTGCCGTTGGTCCTGACGGGATTGACAAGTTGAATATGAAAGAACTGTCTGCCTTGTCAGGAAGAGCCTGTTGGCGTAAGCCTCCCTGGGTTGGGTGTCAGGGTAATCCACCGGTTTGCTGAGTTCTGGCCTCATCTTTCTCACCCATGTGCAGATTGTGCGACGGGGAATGCCTCCTGGAGGAGGAGGCGAAGTGGTTTTCTCATGTCCTGTACGGAAGGTCCTGAAGCCCATTCAGCTCACAGATCCAGGAAAAATCAAACGTATCAGAGGAATGGCGTATCCTTTGTATTTGGTTTAGATTTCTTATTTTTTTCTTGCCTTACTAAGATAAGAATGACTGGCTGCTTTACTTCTTCCCAAGGTTATTTACATTTTAAACTATTAATACAGTCTTGGAAAAGCCTTAACAGTGAAATTGTAGTTGTTGGCTGAGATATGATGTTTTATTACCTGCTTCACCATGACTAGATTAATTGAGTCACTCATTTTTTTTTTCAGTTAATACTTAAGCAGTGGCTCCCGTGTGTGTGATACCCTCTTGAGGGCTTTGGTTCGGGGGCCACAAATGTGCTGCAGTCCCTGCCTCAGAAGAGTACATCATCCAGTGAAGGAAAAAAATATGCAAATACATAGTTCTGATATTACTTACAAAATGATGCAGTGGGTTGGGAGGGCTTAGAGTAGAGAGTGGCCAGTTTTGTCTGGAGAGTGTAGGAGGGCTGGAATAATAATAATGAACTATTTCTACTACTAAGTGCTTGCTCTGCATGTACTTCAATAATCACTTTACATACCTTATTTTTAAGACTCAGAATGATTCTCTGAGTTCACTTACATTCTACATTACAAATGGGGAAACTGAGGCATCAGGAGCATAACTGCTTATGATAGCAGAGCTGGGATTTGAACACTGTCTCTCTAACTCTGGAGCGCAGGCATTTAGCCCTGCTTTTTCCTATAGAAAGGAGCCATGAAGAATAGAGGCTCATGAGGCTTGCGAAACAGAGCAAGAAAGGAGGGGTGCTTCAGCAGAAACACGGGACTACACAGAAATGACAGTGCACAGTGGCTCTGGGGAGTGACCAGTAATGCCATGTGGCCAGAATGCAGGTTGGTTGGTGACATTTGATGGTAGGAAATGGGGCATGAAGACAGGCAGGAGCCAGTGAAGAGCTGAAGGTAGCTGGAATTAGCTACCACGTAGAGTGCAAAGAGAGGAGGTAGAAGCCTGAGAGGCCACCAAAACCTGAAAGCAAGAGCAAAGTTAGGAGGAAAGTCAGAGAGTTGGGAGGAGAATCAAGAAAACACGGCCTCCCACGCCAGCACCTTAAAGGGCCTGAGGAGTGAGCATCAGGCTGGGAGAAAGCTGAGGGGCTCAGCAGCAGGCTGCCACTCGTGCCCCGAGGAACAGCTCTTTCCAGAGGGTGATGGAGACCAAGCCCAGGTGACCAGTTCTGGGTTGTGGAGTGAAGGAGAGGGAAATGGTGACACGTGGGAGCCACTCATTCCAGAATCTTGACAGGAAAGACAGGGAGAAAGGAAGATGAGATGGTAACTTGATGAAGAGAGAGTGGGAGGGCCGGGCGTGGTGGCTCATGCCTGTAATCCTAGCACTCTGGGAGGCCGAGGCGGATGGATCGTTTGACCTCTGGAGTTCGAGACCAGCCTGAGCAAGAGCGAGACCCCGTCTCTACTAAAAATGGAAAGAAATTAATCGGATAACTAAAAATACATAGAAAAAATTATCCGGGCATGGTGGCGCATGCCTGTAGTCCCAGCTACTCGGGAGGTTGAGGCAGGAGGATCGCTTGAGCCCAGGAGGTTCCTGTGAGCTAGGCTGATGCCACGGCACTCTAGCCCGGGCAACAGAGTGAGACCCTGTCTGGGAAAAAAAAAAAGAGAGAGAGAGAGTGGGGAAGACTCCTTCCCTTTTGAAAAAAAGTTGGTAATGATTTGAGTGTTTTCGTAGGGTGGTTACAGTAGACTTAAGTAGGAGAGAGGGTTACTGGTGGAGCAAGGTAACACAGTGATTGAAAGCCCAGGTACTGGAGTCAGATAGACATGGATTGTGATGCTGGCTCGGCCATTTCCTGATGGGGCTTTTTGGCCCCAAGCAGTGGCTGCCTCATGTATCACTGGGCCTGTTACACCTGCAGTGTGGGATGTAGAGAATGGTAAATGAGGTGAGGTGTAGTTGTATAGTAGGAGGCACTGGTGTGAAGTGAGCATTTGGTAAACGGTAGCTGCTGTTCTTTATATTTTTATTTGAGAGGGGTGGATTCAAGTCCACAGGCATATGGTAAGGATGGCTCCAGGTAGAGCTGTTTGGAGGTGAGTGGGAGGGGGTTGGTATGAGTTTTCAGTTTTTACTGGGTTAGGACAGGATTGAGGACATGGGATGGGCAGGGGTAGGATAAGGGAATATGACAAGGATGGTAAAGATGTGCCATCATAGTGGGGCGCCAGCGTGGTGGCTTATGCCTGTAATTCCAGCAACTTAGAAGGCGGAGGCAGGAGGATTGTTTGAGACCAGGAGCTTGAAACCAGCCTGGGCAATATAGCGAGACCTCCGTCTCTAAAAAAATAAGAAAAATTAGCCAGATGTGGTGGTACATACCTGTAGTCCCAGCTACTCAGGAGGATCCCTTGACGCCATCACCTTGAGGTTACAGTGAGCTATGATTGTGCCACTGCATCCCACCCTGGGTAAGCGAGACCCTATCTCGAAAAAAAGAAAAAGACCTGTGGAATACCAGCAAGTGCTCAGCTGAAGTTACAATGTTATCACTGCCAGCTGTATGGCTATATGTCCAGCAGCAGTTGGCAGCCCAGAGGGAGAAACAGAGAAGGCAGGAGGGCCATTTTCATCCAGGAATGGTTGTGGGTTGGTAGGGTGGGTGAGTCCTATAGGAGGACAGGGTGGAGGGCGTTGGGGTACTGGCAAGTATCATTGAAGTGACTGCCAGC